TCATATAGATACTTATCAATTTCCGTATAGGTAATTTGATTATGTACATCGTCCAATATGTTGGTCAAATATGATGTAGGTACACTCTTCTATATTGAATGGACTATAATTTTATTTATACCTCTGCCTTCTACAAAATTGTATGTGTTATTTACATAGTATATAGAGTGTTCACCAAAATAGAGAACACTAAATTTCTCGGTCTAATTATATTGGAATAAATCTAATTTTTTTTACTAGCTAGTGATATGCAAATACCCATTTATAAATGTATCTAAAAATTGTTATAATTTCGATATGCGCATTTGCAGTAAATCATGTTTTTTTAAGCAATACCTATTTTGAACACCATGATCGGATAGGTCCATTTTTTTTTTTAAAAAAAAATTTTGATATATCAACTATGATTCTAAAATCAAAATTGACTGAATAAGAGCCATTTTAATCTTAATAAATAATACATTTTTACGATTCATTAAAATACATAAAACTGTGTATAATTGTTTGTTATTGTTCACTTTTGAATATTTTTATGTATTTTTTTTATGAGTAATATAAACTTGTAGGTAGAGTTGCGTTTCTACAATCTTGGTAAATATTCGAATATTTAATCTGTACAAGAATACAACTTATTATAAAAATTATAGCTGTTTAATTGTTAAGTTAAGGGATTTTACTAAACTTAACTAACACCCATAGGAAATGTGATTAATGTGAGGAAAAAATGTAGTTCTGCAAAAAAAAAAAATTAAAATATGTTGAATTTCAATTTTTTAATTATTTTAAATTAATTAATTTAATTTTTAAATTTTTAATGCTATGAAAAACACTTCTCAAAACCCTGGACACAATACATCAAAAAAGTTTAAGATTAACTATAGGTACATTTAAAAGTAGAGCAATAAAAAAAAAAAGTCACAATAATAAGCAAATTGTTCCTAAAATGCAGACGAAATAAGTCAAATTCACTCAAATTCATCTCACTGAACACAACGCAAAAACAAAAATCAACTTACCTTATACTCGTAATATTCAATCTCTGCTATACCAATATATTTAGCATCAATAGTAAGTTACTATAACCAATGTACCAAAGAATAAAAGATCTCACAGCAGAGCACCAGATCAACTTCAAACAAATAATAAATTATGAAATTCCAATCCTACTACCTTGGACAGAATAAAAATAAATGTTTAAAAAAAAAAAAAACAGAAATCCTATCCTCAACGTTCGTACAACTTAATCTAAAATCTTTTCACTCCTCTGAAACAACTATATACAGCTCTACACTGGTAAAACCCTCGAAATATCTGAATATAAAGTGACATTGTTTTCCGTAGATCGGAAGAACTTTTAAAACATAACGGCAAGTCACGTCTGCACTTAGTGCAGTAACCACTGAATTTTAGGGAACTCCTCTCACAGGATCTATGGCTTCGAAAACTGGGTTAGTGACGCGTTCAAAACAAAAGCAGTGAATGTATCATTTTAAATGATCAGTGGGATAAAATAGCGGAAATTTATTGTTATTATCCCAAATGTATTATCAAAATATATGAATAATATTTATATATATATATATAATTTAATTTTTATTAAATATTTCAACTTTTTAATAAAATTTATAAGTTGCTTTTATTTTTTAATACAATCATATTTCTGAAAAATATTTGCAAAGTAGCAGAGCCTAATTTGGTACCTAATGGTAAATTTGGCTCAGACAAGTGGTCAATATATACATTTAAAGGTTTTTGAAATATTAATAATTTCAATGTAAAAACACTTCTTACGTTGTATAATTATATTAAAGTTGACTGCGTTATCCGATTACACATTATTCAATTTATTATTAATAAGGTAAATCTATAAATTTAAATTACGAGTTTCTCCATGTCTACATGTAAAGTGATTGGTTCATATTTCGAAGTTTTAAACATCAACGAACGGTTAAATCTAAATATTAACTATTTATTCAATAAGTTATTTTGAAAATTACCTTCAATTATTTTGACAGTTAAACTTTATAGTCCACATTATCTTAAAACCACCTAGGTATATGAAATGTTTCCAATGTTTGTTAAGTTTTGTAGTTTATGAACTAATGAGGATTAAATAATATGAATGGGCTATTTCATTATGTATATTTTTTTAGTCCCCAACTTATAAAAGTTAAGATTTTTTTAAACGGTTCAAATTATTTTTAATTCTTTTATCGAAATAGACAACACTAAGTATTTTATTTTTATTGAAAAAGTTTTAGAAAAATCATCTATAGTTATTAAAACTTCCATTCATGGGGAAACAAACGGTATTAAATCATTCTCATCAAATTTATTGGAATTAGGTTTTGGTTTTGCTGTAGTCAAATCAATAAAATAGGAAGGTAATTAATAAATGTGTATACGAGTATATTTGTAAATAACGGTTGAAATCATTTAAAAATATGAAATATTAACAATCAAATATGTCGACAAGAAAAAATTGTATGTATAGGTTTACACTTGAACGTGAATAATTGCCAATTAAATTCATGGGTTGTCCATTTTAATTATAGAGCATGTTTATTATGAATGTGTAAATGGACCTCATTGTAAATCCAAAGACAATGATATAAATATAATAGCACTACTAAAAAGTTTCTACAGTAAAATTATTGGTAGGTACTTAAAAATATTACTTAATATATATAGAGGCGTGTCTAAGACCAAAATTCAAGACAGGCCTCGTTATAAAAAATTTTTGACGCTCAACACTACGGCGGTGATCGCCGACCAAACGACGACTGTCTTTTGTTATACAAAAGTAACGGTCTGATGTAAACATTATTAAAATATTAAAATTATTATTCAATTAGATTTTTTTTATGTGAAAAATTATTATTGAATTGTCTTGATTTTAGATCAAATTTTACTTTATTTTTACTTTTATCACTACTAGTTTATTTATAATTATATATGTAGTTTAAATTACGGAAGAAATTTAAAACACATTTCTTTCACTGGGAAAACTCGAATTGGGTAATTAAGATAACAAGATAAAATCATTCGTGGACCCACTTCACATATTATCAAATGTGATCATGGACCTAATTCGAGTATTATTAAATAACATCGCAGACCCAACTCGTGTTTTTTTTAAACAATCAAATATCTCGGGACCCAACTCAAGAGTTCCCGCTAACAATCCATAATCTAGAATTAGTAGGTATATTGTAAATATCTATAAAATTGATCCTGTTTGTTCTACTAGTTTTATTTATTTATTATTTTTTTTTTTTTGATCATGTCTCTATATATTTAATTTAACAAATTAATTTATATACCTACCTTTGTATTATATTTTATATTGTTTCATATAAATTCTATTTTTATCTGTTGTTAGTTATATACTTATATGTTAGTATATATAATCACAAATATTTTTATTACTAAGTATATATACATATCGATATGACGCATGTAATTGGATCCAAACCCATTACATTTTCAAGGAAATAAACAAATATTACACTAGTTATCTGTCCTGAATTAACTCATAGTAAATAAAAATATTAAGGACTAATATTTTTCTCAATGGGTTTTCAAAGTATCAGTAGGTTGAACTCACGCAATACATTTTGAAATTCTAAAGTGGCGCCAAAAACATAATACATTTTGAAAATATTTAAATATTTTTGGTGGCTTTTTGTTGGTTTAAGGGGGCTGGAGCGTAGCATATTATAAGGAGTAATATTTAGGCATTTTATATCACATGAACATTTTGGCCGTGTCAATGTGTGAGTAGTAAATGAACATTAGTGTGTGTAATCCGTTATCGCGTTTATCATGCCACCGTACATCGAATTCCCGGAACTACAATAATAATCAAAATGAACATTTTATCTTTACATTATATTAATTTGCACAACTTCATGTTTTGATGATCCAATATTATTATAAGTAGTTTGGACAGTATAGTACTATAAGACATAAATAATACTGTGGGAGCGCATATAAATCTGGACCGTATATATATGGAATTTAAAATCTGGATAGTATAAATATGGACTTTAATTATTTGGACTGTACAATCGGATGTACAAATCTGGATTTTATACATACATATATATTATTATTTTATTACCTACCTAACCATTTAAGCCTGCTGAGAGCTAGTCGTTTTTTAGAAAATTCGAATCAAAAAGCGGAAGAAAAATTCATCCGGTAACTAAATCCTGATTTTAATTTTGAAAACACATTTGAATTCTTTATTCTCTTGTCTATGTTTTGTAGGAAATAATTGTTTTAATTTATTCGTTTTTTATAAGCATACAGTAAAAGAAAATTAAAAAAAAATGTATTTGGTACTATGATAAATAAACGATACAATATTTATGTTATAGCTAGAAATACTACAATTCTTAGAAATGTTCTAGCGTCCATACGCGCATGCACAATTCAATATACACGAAGAAAATACTTTTGAACTTTAAATGCTTATAAACAAGAAAGGTTACTAACGATTTTTGATTTTTTTTACTACAATAAGTAAAACTTATAATAAACCTTTTATTAAATTTTAAAGATTTTTTGGATTGCTAAATTTTTTTATACGCACAAAAAAACTTAAAAAATTTCAATTGTCTATAAATATCTTAAAAAGTCAAAATATTTTGAAAATGTAATCGTAAATAGATACGGCTAATATAAACATTTGATGAAAATTTCAAGTATTTACAATGATTCGTTTTTGAGGTACAGTAAAATAAAAAAATTGATTTTGTCAAAAACTGATTATACGTAAAAATTCACATTTTTAAAATTAGATTATCATATAAATATAGACGTTAGGTTGGTAGTGTTGTAAGATAGTTTTTTGTCGGATAGAATTTTGTTAGATTATGCCGATGGTGTTTTGTCGTTATCGAGTGGCTTTGTGTCGAGTAGCATTTTGAGGTGTTATCAATTTATCTGGCAACAACTGTAGATGTATATGATATTTATATTGATTTAGGGTAAACAATTAGATAATAGTTAATATTTTACTTAATGGTTAATTAATAACTATACTTTAAAAGTTATCAGTAGTAACACTAATTAGTAGTCAGCACTAATTAAGATATTTTAATTTATAGAAGTCAGCAATATTGGTTTTATAATCAAATGTCATAGTATTCTTTGTTTTTGATTACATTGTTATTGTTTCCCGCCAAAATTGATGTCTGCAGTGCACACTATTGAAATTTATCATTAAATAAAATTCTTTGGTTTTTGTGTAAGTATACTATTGAATTAATATAATTAATTAAATATTAATTAATAATTAATTTAAGTATATTACTGAATTGAGTAAAATTTATATCAATATAAATAACCATTTTTAATAATGTGTCTTATTCATAATAAAATATATTGTCACTTAAAGTTTTTTGGAATATAATTAATTAATTAAATAATACAATACAGGCCAGTCGGTCCAGAAATGATAGTAACATTTGATACTTACAGAATAAGAACAGTTTAGAAGACAAAGAAAATATGAAATATACATAATATACATATATTGTAGATAAATAATATTAGTTATACAATACTAGATGCTAGATGATAAAAGGTATAATATAAAAAGAAAAAATGAAAAGGTTCTTGGGAATATAACATATTAAAAGAAGGGTCAGTATTGGAAATGCGCATAAGATGGATTATTGGAGACTTAAGGTAGTAATTTGTAGTAGAGAATGGAATATAGAAAGAGACAGATAAGTGTGTTCATTAAATGGGGATTTAAAAAGAAACACTTAATAGTAAATCAGAGCTATCAATTTTTGAAGAAAGTAGGTTGTAGAGGTATAATATGTGAGTCAAGTATCGACAATCAGTGAGACTTTCTATGGGTAAAAGATGTTGGACTGGTGTGTAATTGTAATAACAATGGATATTGAGCTTTTAAGCTACATGATGAAGGAATTTTCTTTGGACCTTTTTGATGGGTCCCAAAATACAAAATCATATTTTAAGAATGGGATGAACAAGAGAATAATAAAGGATATTCAGAGAAGAGAGAAGTTTAAATTTTGTAGAGAAACAGTTTATGAAGCCTAGCAGTTTGAGAGTCTTGTAACAAATTTTCTGTAGAGTATATTTGGGCATAGATACGAGTATGGATAAATCCTGTCTTTCATTGAAATATGAAAAATGTTCAAAGAGATATTATTGACGGAATAAGTATAGAAAATAGAAGAATTTGTACGACAAGAAGTCATTACAGGGAATTTAGAGATGTTGAGGACGAGTCCTAAAGAATCACTCCAACACTAGTTGTTGAGTATCATTTTGAAAGAGATAACAGCCAAAATTAGATTTTATTATAATTGGATAAAAGATTTTCATATCATCAGTAAAATTAAGGAATTTCGCATGTTGAAGGGTGGAAGTTGCTAAATTGACAAATATGGCGAATAGAAGTGTTGATAGAACAACTCCTTGTATACTGAAGAGGGAATAAAGTAATCAGCAGAGGCAGCAAAAATATTTACCAATTGTATCCTATATATTAAATATGAGTAAAGCCATGAAAGAAAAGGTTCATCAATGTCAATAGAGTCTAATGTTATAATAAGGAGGTAGTAATGAACATGGTCGAAGACCTTGGAAAAGTCTGTATAAATAACATTAACTTAACAGTTGTCAAAAAAAGAAAAAAATAAGAGATGTAGAAATAAAGAATAAAGTTACATTTAGTGGCTGATCTTCCAGGATGAAATCTGTGTTCTTCGGCTAAAATATGGTTAATTAAAGGGCGAATTGAATTAAAGACGAGCTTTCAAAAAGTTTTGATTAATAGGGTATGATCAGTGGCTCACAGTAGATTTTTGACAAGGGTGTCAAAAATATATATTTCGAGGTACTCATCTACCCCCATCAGTAAAATCTGAGTTTAGACATAGAACAACTCTTATTTTTATGTGTTTTTAGTTTTATTCTTACTAACAAAGATACTAAAAACAACATTTTTTTAAATAAACCTAATATTAATTATTTTTCAATTTTATGGGTATTAATTTATAAGATTGTATATCATAATTTTTGGGGTTGAGCCCTACTACTAATTCTCATGTGACGCTTTAGTTCTAGGGTTAACATAATTAGTATGTTGATTTGGATAGTTGAAAAATTGGTTAGTATTAAATTAAACAAATATTCTTACAAGTTCATATAGAACTAGTCATCCACTATTTCTCTGAGGGGTGTCAGTTAACACCCCTGACCCTCCCTATATGCGCCACTGGGTATGTTAGTTATTGGACAGTCATTTGTAACATCCCTAATATCTCCAGACTTAAGTATTGGTCTAATTGAGCCAAGTTTTAGGACAGACTGTATTATTCCTGAGTCAAATTTTTTTTAAACAATAACCACAATGATTCTGACAGTGAAGTTTATAAAGAAAATCACCCTGGATACCATCTTAGTCAACAGACATTATATTGCGAAAATAATTATCTGTTTTATAATATTCACTAATATATTTATCAATAAATTAAAGAGCCTATCCATTTCAGTGCTATAAAGTCTGTATATATATATATTTTTTGTTAATAATATTTTACTTGATATCAAACAAAATATTTTAAAATAATGGCTAATAATGGGAATCAAAAAAATGTTCCATTTTACAAAAATATTATTCTATTAAATTAAATGCTGACAATAATTATTTTTTTGTTCTATATAATATGATCATTATGAAGTAATGAAGTTTAATTCAATTTTTTACTGCTTGTATTTCTATAAATGTTATGTTTTGTATATGTTTAAAAATAATCGATATATTATAAATGTTTTTGTAGATGATTTTTAATTTGTTGTAAAATGGAATCAAACGAAAGCACAGAAACAATTAATTATCAAAAAGGAAATGTATGTAGTGAACTAGAATCCGTACTTAAATTACGTGATAAAATTATTTGCAGTAAAGAAATTACACTTCCTTGTGCTCATATTGAAGATACAGACCTTTCAGATATTTTAAGTAATATTCCCAATATTAAACCAAATAAACACTTGTTGCAAAATGAACAATCAATTCATTTATTGATGGAAAATATAAGGAAACTTAAAGGAACTTCAGGTGATTTTGAAAATACTTTAATTCAAATTGCATTAATAATTTGTATTTATTTATGATAGAATTGGAAGTGGATTTTGATGCTTATGAAAAGAAAAGTCAAGATGATGAAGTGAATCAAACAATTTCACGTCTTCGACAACAGTCAGAAAAACTTTTTAAGAGAATTATCAACTCTCAAGTTGGTTTTAATGAATGTTTAAATAGTGGTTTGAATAAAAATAATTTAGAGATTAAAGATCATATCAACACACATACTAAGTTAATAGAACAGACTTGTAAATATGATAGAGGCATAGAATCAATATTAGATTGTAATAAAGATAAATTTGGAAAAAATATTAAGACGGACTTGAAAGTTAAAAGTATCAGTGAATTTGAAAAGTAAGTATAATATATACTCTTAGTTATTTTAATATTGTCTTATATTAATTTTTAAATATTTTATTTGTGTTTATTGCTCGACATCAATAATTTAATGTATAATATACATTGATTAATATATCAAATCGAAATATCTCTTAGAAAATTCTCGTAAAATGTATTTTTCAATTGATAATTGTACAAAATGTACATTGAATTTTATTATATAGTTGTCTTTTTAAATTTAATTAATATACTAATTGTATACAATTAATGAATTATGCTTCTATATAACATCTTAAATTATGAACTTGTAAATGAAAATACCCAACCTTTTAAGTATGGCTTAGAACAAGGTTTCTCAACCCAAGAGGTCGTTTTAGTTTTAGGGTTTGGAAACACTGGCTTAGAATATAGTTGACTATTTTCAAATTCTTATATGAATCAAAATTATTAAAAAATGTTTTTAAGTTTATATACATTACTTAATCTTAGATTTGTTAATTAATATTATTTTTTAAATTACAAATAATAATCCTATATTCAATTGATTTTTTTTTTAAAAATTTAATAATTTTTTTTTAGTTTTTCTTTATGCATAGAAATATTGCCATGCAAATAAGTTTCTTTAAATGTATCATCCATAAACTTTCTATCTTAAAAGTTGCAGCATTTTTATGCATATTGACTGTTCAAGCATACTTAGTTTTGAATAGTTTATTTAGTGTAAATTACAAACTAATTCTGCATTACTGTGTTAAATTTCTATACACAGTAAAATTATAAATTGTATACATTCTTTTTATTTTGTTTATAATCTTTTGACCATTTAATATTTATCTATTTTCAGGGCATATACTGAATTAGCAAATGAAGAATTAAGCACGATTTATGAAACTGCTTTGAAATCATTTAAAAATCATGAACATTTACTTGCTGTAAAACACTATGATAAACCTTCAACCGATTTTATGATAGAAGATATAATATCAGAAAAATTAGATCCATATTCAAAACAACCAATTACTAAACCTGTAAAAAATAAAATATGCAAACATATATATGACCAAAATTCAATTGAACTAATGTTAAAAAAAAAAATATTTATATCTTGTGCATATATTGGGTGTGTAAATAAACGTTTTACTAAAAAAGACCTTTTGTATAATCTAGACAATTCTTCTGACGGTGAATAAAATAAAATATTAAATACAGTAGAAAGTAATATTTGTATATATATGATAAAAATGAATTATACATAATATAATATTATTATGATGTATTTTTTTCTTGTTGATTATAATGTATGAAATATCTAATGTAAATATACTTTGAAATTGTATTTCTTATGGTATCATAAGTGTTTATACTTGTACCCATCTACACAAAAAATAAAATAACAATTTTTCATAATCTATTTTTAGTTTTGAGTATTATTGATATTTTATAAACCTTTATTAATAATGAAAATTTAGCACTCATAAAAATTTGTTTAGAAAATAAACTGTTACACTTATACATTGTACTATATTACGATAATCAATTTAAAAGTATTTTATATTATAATAATTTATTTTTTTAAAAGACTGATGAAAGATTTCAAATGTTTTTATTTTTAAATTAAGACAATAAATATAAATATACATTATATTGAACAAATTACAGTTAAATATCTTTAAATCTATTATTTTGTCTCCTAAAAAAATTAAAAATTGTACATCATTAGTTGAATGAAATATCTATACTTCAGTAAGTAAAAATAATTTAACTTTTTTTATAAAACTATAAATATATTTTCTTTCATATGGAGTGGCTTAACTAGTGGAAGGAGTTTAAGAGTTATGACATTTGTTTAAAAAAAAATTCATTGTATACTGACAAAATTAAATTTATAAATATTTTATTTATATATCTTAAATAGTTTTATATTAGTTTTATATAGTAACAATTTCTATAAAACCTAAGTAAGAATGTTAATATTATTTTTAAGGTAATATATTTTGAGTATGACTTTGATATTATCAAACAATTATATAGAGTATCCCTTATATATTAACCATAAATTTAAATATATTGTATCAGTGTTTGATACTGTGAACGAATTCAAAAATCAATTATCAAGAAAACAGCATACACCATTGATTATCAGTACTGGATCTTGGAATGAGGCAAATAGCTATGCTTGCCTAAGGCACTGTTGATACAAGGACACTTTTAAGTTGATGAAAATTAAAAAAAGTTATGAACATACTCTGTACTTCCACCTACATAAAGATGCTGCATTTTTATTAACCCCAGATATAAAATTTCCTATATCTAGCATTAGATTATAATGATTAATTATCACTTAAAATGTACATGATAATTTTCAGATGTTAAATATAAATTTAAATACACCTAAGTATAAAACTAACTAGTCAGTAATTAAAAATAAAATTAATTTTTTTTATTAATTCTAATCTTTCTCAATGTATTCCTTCCTTTGTTTTATTATACTCAGTCGCTATTTTATTGAAGTAAATTTTATTTGTTTATTTATTTATATATTATTTATGAGTATTAACCATTTAATAATTTTTAATTTTAATTTAATTTTTTTTTTATTTTATTATTTAAAAATAAATACATGTTATATACTCCAATATGATAATAGGATGTATATTAATATAATAATATATGTTAAATATCATCATAATTATAATTAAATAAATTTTTTAATTATCAAAAAGTACAAAAATCGAATGGATAATACAACTTCTAGTAAAATCAAGAGAGAATTAAGGAAGATAACTATTAATAATATTAATGATATTTATAAAATATTTAGTATGGTATATCTATATTTATTGAAGATTATAATCTTATAAGCAACAAACACATCAGTCTTAACATAGATTCAATTACAGAAATCATTAATTTTAATTATCTAATTTTAATACCTAATATTTTTGTAGCATTGGTTTCAATCAATTTATGAACTTCATTCACTTCTTCTTGATTTAATGTTCTTTCTAAGTGTCTGTACACTATTCTGTAACAATGACTTACATTTTTAGTTTTTGGATGTTGAAATTCATCAATTAATTTTACTTGTTCAACTAAATGACCGCCATATTCTCTTACAAGTTCATAAAAATCATTCGAACAATATGGTTTTTCTTCAGGTAACCAAAAACTTATGTCATTGATACATTGAGGATATATGCTTACTGGTTTATATTTTATTCTTCCGTCTTTAGGTATATTTTCAAATTGATTGAGAAATCCGGAATCATTTGACCAAAATATACGTATATCTGGTATAGAATAAAAAGGCATAGCTAGACGTTCTAACCCAAGACCAAACGCCCAACCAATTCGATTGCCAGCTCCAGAATTTTTCAAAATTTCATGTTGGATAACTCCACATCCCAAAGCTTCTATCCATTGGCCATTATAATATATTTCTAATTCAAATGAAGGATGTGTAAATGGAAAGTACTCGGTAAGCCAACGGTACTCAATATCTTCATCAAATACTTGTTTTATCATTGACACTAATGTATTTTTTAAGTGATTGGTAACTATTTCATTGGCTTCTTTAGAATAAACACCTTGTTTTTCATTTGAAATATATTGGTTGGGATCAAATATATTAATATTGCTTCCATGAATTAATTCTAATTCATTTGGAGTAAATATATGTACACCATCAGCTTGATGAAATACTGGATAATGGGTAGAATCAATTTCATCTCTCCTATAAACATCTCCAAATATTACAAAGTTATCTAAACCCATTTTTATTAGTTCAGATTGGTGAGCAGTAGCATGAGCTCTGAGCATATAAGTTTTATTTATATAATAGCTATCTGTCTTATTTCTACTCGGATGATTTTTAGGAACTAGCAAAGAATCAAAGTTTTCATTTATTGTTACAACTGGATTAATTTTGTCATAAATAGAAAAAATTGGATTACCCGTTCGTCCTTTAAAGTGACCATAGAAAAAATCAATAAGTCGTTGTTTGAATAAACATAAAGGGTGGCCAATACGATTATGATTATTAGTGCCAATGAATGATAGTATATTAGGAGTAACATTCGTATATTCATCTCGCTTAAAAGGTTTTCCGTCCACTAACACTGTTTCTAATGCTAAATAATTTTTATTAAGATTCAATACTTTTGATGTATAATAGTCCCGAAAAGTTAAATTATGAGCACATTTTAATCGTAAAATTTGTTTAAACATGTTGTTTTTTATTCAAAAATTATCATTCAATAAATTGAATAAAAAAAAAATTGTAATACGACAAAAGTTAAACGCTGAAAGATCTAACACTCGAGTCATGGATCGAGTTAAACATGAATATTATTACATTCACTACACAGCGACATAACGACCAAATTTTGATAAAACCATCTATTCTGTGATAAAACCTATGACCGTCAAGTTATCTCTTATTAGATTTTTTAATACAGATGATGATAATGTGATCACATAGAGTAATTACCATAACTGCGACCACTATAACCTCAAAGATTATGGTAGTTCTTAATGTCCTTGATAACTTAACAAAAACAAAATTCCAATGTTTATCTTTTTCCGTTTATCGTTCGTTCATATGAGTTAATTACTTAACAGTGTCATTACTCATTACGTTTCATTATTGGATGTAACTTTTAATGTTTGTCACTTTTTTCTACACAACCGAATTAAATAAACTTTGGTAGGTATTGCGTGCTATATTAATCTATTTGTTGTGAGCAATTGAACCTTTAGGGCTGTTGATTTGAATGCACACGTCTGCAACACGTACAATTACTTGACTACGTTTATATACAAACTATGTTACAGCTATCCATACATTAATTAGATATAATGCGGTCCATTATTTTCGTTGGTAAGTATTCATTATTAGTAAAATAGTTAAAACTATGAATATATTAGAGTATATGTTAAAGTTATTTGGTAATTAGTATGTAGTGTGTTGAAGTTACTATTCATCTAGTTACATAGAATGTAAATAACCTGTTGTAATGGAGATTATTCTTTTATATTGGTTTATCATTGGTTTACATAGGTAATTTCTAGTTTAATAAAAGTTCTATTTAATTATTAAAAGTATTATATTACATATGTACCTGTTATCAAACTTTAATTTAAGCCATTCAAGTTTGATACTATATATTGAATAATATAGGTTTGATTTAATTATTTCTATTTTTTCTTAGTTATTTCTTTTTTATAATAATATTTTACATTTTTTTAATATATTGAACAGAAATTTAGTTTATTATATTATTAATTAAATGTATTAAATTAAATATAGTAATGTTTTATATAACAAAATCATAAATGTTATTTAGTATTTTATTTTTGATATTAAATTAAAGTATTGGATAGATTTCAAAATCAAAGTGGCAAATACAAATATAATACTTATATTTTAAATGTAAGATTTATTTTGTAGTTATTCTTATTTAAGATTATTATTATAATTTTCTTTCATATTGTATTATCCTAATAGTTATAAATAATAAATAGATTAATAAATTATATTTTCACTCATTTTAAATAATTTTAAAAATATTTTGTTTGTACATATTTATTTAGAATTAATATAATCAAATTAATATTTTTTTATGAATGATAACAATCCTAAAACAATTTTATCTTAATCAAATGGGATAATATAAATATTTTAAGCTAGACTTAACATTATAATATTAAACTAATATTTATTATATTTTAGTTTAATATTTAGTACGTTGTATAATTATGTAAAAGTACTTATGGATATAGGCTTAATTTTATAGTCAAATAATAATGTAAATTTTTGTAATAACATATATTTTTGTTATTCAAAGTTAAATTTATAGCCATTAGCATTTTTGTGTTGTGATAATAAAATAAAATATCTGGTGACAAGGCTTCAACTGGGTAGAAGAACATGTTAAAAACATTTTCAAAACATAAATATTTAGTTATATTTAGTTATAACATGTCATAAAACAATTGTTAAATTAGTAATGTTAAGTATATTTGGTTTAATCATACTAATCGAATAACTAATATTATACCAAATAAATTCTAAAACAATAAAGCTTTGAAAAATCTAGTTTAAATTTATTATAATTGAAGGGGAAGGTCAACTTTTAAACTGTAGAAACTTCATCAGCTGTAATATAAGAAAGGGATTTATTTAATAGTTAGGACTTTTTATATAACTGATATTATAAAGACAGAGAATCTCATTAGAAATTATTACCTCTAGGCTTTCCTATAATAATTATTGAAATATATTATAGACTTAGATTCATAAATCTATATATTATCATAACTATATATTATTTGTAATTTCAATATTTTATTTATTTTATTAGATGTCAAACTTGAAATTAATTCAAAAAATTTTATTTTTAGTAAATTTATTTGTGCATTTGATATGTACAAATACTCAGAAACCTGGAACCTTTGATAGAGAAGGCTATTTCAATAGTTCATCTTGGTTAAATTTATTCCCCTCTATTTCATTACACAAACATGTAGGATTCAGCTTTAGAACATGTACCGGAGGACAAATATTTTCTCAAACCAATACTTCTGCTGAGTTTCCATTCACAGAAATCTCAGTTGCAGTTCTTCATGATGGCTTATTATTTACAGCATTTCTTCAAAATAGACATTATGAATCTAAAATTCAAGGAGATTTTTTTGATAATTCTTGGCATAATGTTAACTTAATATATAAGCTTGGAGAATTAATAATGTCTATTGATGGCTTACAACAAGTAAGTTGATATATGAACTATTCATTTATGTATAATATAATTATTTTTATAAAATTTATCAAAGTAATAAAATTGTATGATTATTTTAAGGTTATAGCAAATTCAACATTTAATTCTGAAATATTAAATTCAGATATGGTTACTGATCAATCAGTATTAAGAGTTGGAGACAGTTTTGAAGGTTGTTTATTAGAAGGACCAAATTTTATTTTTAATTCTTCTTTAAATCAAGCTTATAAAGTTATTTGGGGACACTGTCCCTTAAATAGCCAGTCATGTATGTATTTTTTGATTTAATTTTCTAGTTTACATTTTTTTTATTCCAAACATAATGTTTTTAGGTACAGGTTTTGATTACTGTTCTCATGCTCCTTGTATGATGCATGGTATATGTGTTCCAAGACAAAATAAGTACCATTGTATTTGTCAGCCAAGATATTCTGGAAATAATTGTGAAATTGACAATGGTAAACTTCTGTTTTTATTATTAATGATCATTATACTCTATTTCATGTAAGTTTATCCACTTTTGCGCTCACTCACTGAACCATCAAAACTGTTAAACTTTGGTAACTACCAAGTGCTTTGTGCTTTGAGTTAATAGTTAATAGTTACGAATATAACAATTTCATTTTCACTGGCTCTCAAACATGTGTAAAAGTTATTATTGAACAACAAACACGTATGAAATATGGTAAAAATATTATAATAATATAGTACATTAGCCATGTATAATGTCATATAGTTATGGTCAGTGCTCGAATTGGGAAAAATTAAGTAGAGGAGCTCAGTCCAACGATTTGAAAACTGCGTTCCATGTGAGCAATTATTTAACACAGACCTGTGGGGGGATTTTGTCCCTGCCCCCCCTTCGCCAGCCTTACATATATTTTGAATGCTACTTTTCAGCTAAACTAATATTTAAATTCCAAATATAATATATAATATATTTAGATAGCAATACCAACATCCTACATGTTACAATAGAAAATAAAAATAAAATAATAATTAACATAACTGTAGGCGATCAGGTAGTCTCATGAATCGAATGATATAATCATATATTTGGTTTTTGTTTTTATCTATTTTTACTCTTTAGTGCGGGCCATGCCCTTAGAAGATTAGTTGTGGCGCGGGCATTTATTTTTTTCTGAAATGATGATATCGTCGATCGCCAATATTAATAACAAATCCTACAATGTATAAAGTATAATATACCAAATTCACAGACATTGATATTTATATTTCTTCAGAAATTATGACGTTGTCCCTTATCATAACCACCATATAATCTTTAATTATGAAAATAGTTTAAATATTATAAATCGTAAAATTCGTTTTCAAATTGACGTGAATTGAAATTCACATAAAAATTATTTTGGACATCAATTAGGATGAACGTGTCCCTCCGTTCCGGTGAAAAAATATAGTTGGGATACGTAAAAAAAAATACAGGAGCTCCGTCCCACTGCGCACCCCCCAATTCGAGCACTGGTTACGGTCAACACTAGTGCGCATAGTTACATTTTTGAAAAAGGCTGCATGGTAGCAACCAATTTTTGTCAATTGAATGGGTAAACTTAGATGTAATTAAGTAGGAATTAATGTTGTTTTATTAATTTACATAAATAATGGTAGTTATAACTAGTTCTTAAATTTTAGGATCACCCTGTCTTAAACTAAATAATCGTTGTATGCATGGACAATGTGAAGAAATAAAACATGGTGAAGATTTTATATGTCATTGTGATAAAGGATTTACAGGTGAAAATCATTCATTTATAATTATTATAATTTTTATTTTATTTTTTTTTTTCATTATTATTGTTTAGGTAAATTTTGTGAAATTGAATTATCTGCTCATGTTTGCGATAATAATCCATGTAGAAATAATGGTACATGTGAACTAGCTTTAGGAGAGAAAAGTTATGAGTGTAGTTGTGCACCAGGTTGGTACATTTGGTTTTATTATCAATGTTATTTAAGTATCTGAATAATTAGATGAACATTTATATTATACTAAATTATTAGTATACTGCATTTGTCATTATTAATAATTATGATATCAAAAAATGTTTTTTATTTATTTTAGGGTTTAAAGGAGATGACTGTGAAATAAATATTAATGAATGTTTGTCTAGCCCTTGTCAACATGGTGGTATATGTATTGATGGAATTAATAACTATACATGTTTATGTAGTAAAACAGGGTAAATTAATATTTACTTATTTAATTAATTTAATTTATATTTTTATGTATTTTATATATTTGTACATGTAGATATAAAGGAATAAATTGTGAAACAAATATAAATGAATGTGAAATCAATCCATGTTCCAATCATGGTATATGCTTTGATAACTATGGGAGTTATACATGTCAATGTCAAACAGGATTTGGTGGAATGAACTGTGAAATAGTAAATATTTACCAAATTTATTATAGTTGTATAAATTATGCTTATGTATTTGAATACTTTAAATGTGTTTGCCTAGGATTTGAATGAATGTATATCAAATCCTTGTCAAAATGGTGGTCAATGTAGAGATCAAGTTGGAACATATGAATGCCGATGTGCTCCTGGATTTTTAGGTAGAAATTGTGAAATTGATGTTGATGATTGTGAATCAGCTGTTTGTCCATCAAATTCAGTTTGTGTTGATGGTGTTGCATCATATTCATGTCATTGCAAATCGGGGTATACTGGTAAATAAATTTTATTTATTTACGGACCGTGGTTAGTTACTTTATAGTGCATATTACTTATCATTGTATTTCAATAAACTACAAAATACTTGTAAAAACTAAGTGCTTTTAGAACTAAATTCTTATATATACCTCTTTCACCGCTCATTATTATATGGAAGTTGCATAATATCAGTAAAAACTGATCATTCGGTATATTTTTTTTTGGAATGGAGAATATAAAATAATACAAATAGGAATGTTCAAAGAAAATGTAAATTATATTTCTTTCAAATCATTATTAAATTAAACAAATTTGTGGTTCAGATTAGAAATTATTATTTATAATTTATTATATCATTTGTATATAAATTGTTCACTGTTACATCAGATATATTATTTAATTTATTAAATTTACATATATAATTAATATTTTATATTAATATAATTGATATGTAATTTACATATATTAATGTTAATTTAAATCCTATAGACAAATTATAAAAATCTATATTTATATAATTATTTTATTTAGGTTTGCCACCAAATTGTACTGAACAAACAGTTTGTAGTAGTAATCCTTGTCAAAATGGAGGTATATGTATATTACTACAAAATGGTCAATATAATTGCTCATGTTCTCCAGGATATACAGGTATTTACATTATTTTAATATAAAAAATTAAACTGTTTTGTATTTGTACTACTATTCCAAAATATATTTATTAGTCATATTTATAATTTTAATTCTATGTACAATGAAATAGAAAGTCTAAGTTCTATAAATCGTTTATTTTTTCACTACATAAAAAAAATAAGATAAATGCTTTTATTATTAGTCTTAATACCTTAAGAGAACACCACACTCGTATGTATTGTCTCAGTCAACTACACATACAACATAACACATTTGTGTTAAGTATTTCAAATGTAGTGATGCATAAGTAAGCTTTAATATTAAAGTAAACTGATCTATAATCAACTTTAAGGGACCAACATTATCTGTGTTTTGTTGGTTGGTTTTTTTGATATTTTAATTTTTATCCGGGTTATGAGTTATTTTAATTGTAATATTTTACATACTTACTTTTTCTGCTCAAATGCGCAAGTTGTAATATACCATGCACAAATTAACACCTTGCTAGAGATGTAGGTAGCATATGATCAAGTTGCATATTTCAAATGTATTATTTAAGAAAGTCAAATATCAAAATGTTTAGTATTGTTGTGTTCAAAACCACAAAACTTGGATGTATTACTCAATTAATCAGTATCCTCTAAAACTTACCTGCCTTCAGTTCTTCTACTTATGGCTGTATGCTCTAATGCATTTTGTTATTTATTTTTTATTTCCTATTATATTTTTAAATTTTGAGAGCAATTTATTAGTTACACTATGATTTTATTATTTTTGAGTAATATAATATATTCAGAAGGATTGTTTCAATCATCATGAAATAAAAAGTAAAAGGTATGATGAGTGTTTTTTTTTTTTTGTACTTTAGAGGTTAATTTAACTAATTTTCAAACTGTTTTTTTAATAATTGCGAAAAATTATAATAAAAACAGCAATATTAATTGCATACTGGTTTTTGTAGCTCAAAAAATAATATTAGTATAGAATTTAATATATACATAAGCAAATAGTTTATATATAAAAATAAATAAATTAATGCTTAACCTAGAGTATTATTACATTTATAAAATATGGCTGGTTTTTAATTAAAAATTCATCATCATACAAAGTTAATAAAATTGCAACTGAATATGAAAAAATGGGTGGCAATTTATTTTTTCACTTAATACTTATTTTACATTTTGTTGTGGATAGTATAATTTTAAAATTTGACTTATAGAAAATTGAAATTTTCATGTTCTCAGTAAATGTTGATATAATAGTTTTGTGGTAATGGTCCAATATGCGACCTATGAATGCTACTCAACCTACCGATAAGTTTGAGTTGATCTACAGGTTTCTTTAACGCGGTTATTGTTGTTTTGGGCATTTTATTTTTGGTTCGATATTTGTTCAATATTCCAATGTTTTTCTCCGATAGGTATTTACAATCATTAATAATGTTTTTATTGTCCTCAGTTAGTACAGTTCCAATTTCATTCGTATGTGGCGTGCGCTCATTTTGTGATTTTTTATTTGAGTTTTATTTTGTGTGTGTGAATTTTTCTAATTCAACATGACATCTACTATTGGTCACCTATATAGGCGCATTATTAGAGATGAAGTGGTATGCAGGGACGCCCACAGAAATGTAGCTCAGGGGGGGCAAAAAAATTGTAAGTACCTAAATACTTTTAGGAAGATTTACTGCTACATATTTCATCTACTCATATTTTGTATTACTATCAATAATAATTTTTTAAAAATCAAAACTCATTTAAGTTTATATAAAATTACATTATTAGTTATTAGTTTTAATATTTATAAGAAAAAATATAATAAAGTTTAAACAAAAAACAACTTTATTTGATTGAATTCGCATCATATTTTATTATTTTATTCAAAAAGTAATGTCAATCTCCTTTTGTTTGAAGCAAATAAATTAATTGAATCATCATTTGTTGATTAAAAAAATGTTAGATACTTGTTAGATACAAGGATTGTCGAATAGTCACTGAATACCCAAGATCAGCTTCATGTAAAATAACTTCCAATTTTGTAAGGGACCCGAAAATCTCAGGGGGGGCAATGGCCCCCACTGGCCCCCTCATCCGGGTGTCCCTGGTGGTATATGTTCAATAATTTAAAGACTGAAGGTTATTACTGGCCGATAATCCGATGACTTGTATATAGGTGAAAGACAGTGTTGTATGTAATGGCCAACTTGTGGAATATTTAAGAATTAATAAAAAACAAAATTCTGATGGCACTATGAAAAAAGTAGTAACATTATGATGTGCAAAACGGGGTTGCCAGACTTACCAATTGATTCGTAAAGATAGTGACTTTTTTACCTACACGGCCATTGTAATAGTCAACTATCATTATGTGAAATAATATAATATTAAAAAAAATAGGGCGTCTCCTTTACTAGATAAACAAATCCAAGAAGAGTGGTGGAGATTGTGTCAAAATCCAAAAACTATGTTTGATGAATATTTGACCTATATGAAAAATATGTTACATAACAATACGGACTAAAACAATACATAGTTATTGATGACACTGAGAAGTGGAATGAAAAAAAGGTTAGGTAAAATTATTTGCATTTAATTACATTTATAACGTAGTTCGCATATTGGATCTTAAATCAGTGTGTAGGTCGCATATTGGACCGTTACCAGTTTTGTTTTAATGAAAAGTATTAATATATAATACAAAGTTCCATATAAAAATGTATTGCTGATGAAGAAAAAAAATTGAGCTTTATTTCAACAAGTATTTTTACAAGAGTTTGATTACCTAAAACATTTTGACAAAATTAGATATTTTAATGAAATTCCATTAAATAATATTAGTTATTTAGTTTTTATTGTATAATGAATGGAACCATTATTTTGTATTAGACAACTAGTAGAGAAGTATAGGGAAAAGGATAAAAAACTATGCATGGTGTATATAGATTTAGAAAAGGTATATGACAGAGTGGCACGAAAAGCCTTAAAGTGGACATTAATGAGAAAAGAGATCCCAAAAATATATATAAATTTGATTTAGGCTATATATGAAGGCTTGAGAACTAGTGTCAAGAATTTGTGTGACGTGACAAAAGATTTCAACATAGGAGTGCATCATTTTTATATATAGTTATATTTTTTATTATACTACATGTATTAACTATATTATTAAGCTACATTTCATGAAACTTAATATTAAAGAAAATTTTATGGGACTTTGACTTTCTATTTAATATATATATATATATGTATGTATAAAAACATTAAGTATATTCCTCTAGTGGCGCTTATGTCAGCTGAAATATCTATGTTAAATTTCATAATATAAAAACATATCATGGTCAACACACCAAGGTTACATTTTATATCAAAAACTTAGTTTATAATATTTACTTAAGAAATTAATGTATTTTATCTATAAAAATATACAGTTTTAGGTATCTCAATCTGTCATTATATATTAATGTTCTTATGGTTTTATATAACTATTGGATACTGTTGGTGCCGCATTTTAGTACCATAGTTTACATTAAATATTAAATGTGATGTTATGTATAGTTGTACCTTTTTTTTTTTTTTGGTTTTGAATCGATGGGTAGACTTTTGTAATACTTCCATGACCCATGTATTGTAACACCTACTCACTACTAAATTATATTTGATATTTTTTATAGGTTATTTATGGGATTGAAAACAATATTATTTCATAGATCGCAATTTTAATTTTTTATAAACGTTTGAAATTTAGTAAAATTAAAAAAGATGTGTTATAAGCTTATGTATAACCACTTTTTATTATTATTATTTTCTAAATTTAAATAAAACTTCAGGTCTCCTCATTTAAAGATTGTTTTCAACGTTTTATTGTTAAACCAATATTTTTAAGATAGAATTGGTCTTCTGTATCTGTTTATTATTTTAATAAATTAGAGCAGTTTCTCAACCTTTGTATTATGGCGACATACTATTAAAATATTTCATACTTTGTGACACACAATAATAAAAATAGAAATCATGGGTAATATTAAATATTTATAATTAATTGATGATGTAAAATTAAAAATAACAAAAAAAAATATAACATAAAACAGCATTTTAATGAGAAATCTGTGACTGATATTTCTTACATATTGTATCAATACGCGGTAAAATCTTTGACAAGGCTCCTCTTAACTCTTCTTCGACATTAATTAATCTTTCCTTTTTTTTGTTTTTAATTTCGTTCAATGTAGAAAAAGCTATCTTGCACAAATATGACGTTGAAAATGTTAATAACACAGAAAGTGCCAATTTTGTTAAACTCGGATTTTTTTTTTTTTGTGTAAATCCAAAATTCGCCTAGCCCGAGCTTATTAAACTTCATTTAAACAGTGCAATCGTTTATTAATTCTGCAAGTTCTTCTTTCCCTTTTAATAAAATATGTAAGGTTTCTAAACTAGGATTAAATGGATTCCTCACCCAATCAAACATTTTAAAATTCCAGCGATGAAAAGTTATCAATTAATAAGACTCAGCAATTAAATAAAATTTTTTTTTTTTTTTGAGCTATCAATTGGGCAGTATAAAAACTAGTTTCTTGTGCCTTATTTAAAATGTTCACTGATTTCAAAAATTGATTTGATAGTAGTTTTTAGAAACTCAAAGCCAATGTTTATCAATTAGAAATACGATAATGATAAAATTTATTTAAGTCAATAGCTATTAATCTATTTTTATTCATCATAGAAATTATATCTAATACCTTTTAATTTTTGTAATAAGTTTCAATAATGTTTGTACATTTTGTGTCATTTAATATTATTACTCCAGGCAATACATTTGGACTTACCTGGCGACACACTGGTTGAGAAATGCTGAATTAGAGAGTTGAGTTATTCATTTTCGGTTGTAACTTAATTAACTATGATTGCCAAAGTTCAAATGAATAGTTTGAATTAAAACTTAATAAATCTACTTAATAACTAATATTCATAAATAATTTATCCTATAAACAATTTGTTTAAATTAGGTTAATTATTACAAATATTTATAATTATTAAAATTCACCATTAAAAATTAAATTATTAAATTATAGTTACATTAAAGTGATAAATTAAATTACAAATGTATTTTTAAGTCCTTAAAGTTTTTTAAAAGATTTATGGCATCTATTCTAAAAACTATTGGTTTTCATTTGAAAAATTTGACTGCATAATTCCATGATATAGAATATTTCTACATATCAGGCATTTACATTACAAAAATCTATTATAGAACACATTTTTTTAGTTTTACCTAAGTTCATATTTTTATTCTTAATTAAATAAAATATTTATCATTAATAAGATAAAATGTACTAGTTACTTATGTTTCTTAGAAATTTTAACTATAGATTTTTAAATAGTTTGTTATCATTTGTTTATAAATGTTTGAGTTTTTTTTAATTAGTAATTAATTATTGCACAATATTGCATGGGTATAGTTATTCACAATTTTTACAGGCGCTTTTTGTGAGCATGGTAATATAGTAGCTCGTTCGCATGCTGCTGATGATGGTTGTGTAATCATGCCTTGTTTGAATTTTGGTACTTGTATACCCCAAGGATCTAAATATGAGTGTAAATGTCCTGCCGGTTTTACTGGTCGAAATTGTGAAATGACTATGAAACTATGCAATTCTAGTCCTTGTCATCATAGCATGTCTTGTCGTGATTATGTGAGTTTATTTATGTCAACTGTAAAAAATTGAATTAATCAAATTCCTATATGAACAGTGGCGGCTTTCATTTTTTTAAAAATATTGCTCGAGCATTATTTTTGATTATGTAATATGAATTTGTTATTGTATGGATTTGTTATTGTTGAAGCAATGACTTAAAGCATTTTTCTGAAAGATTCATGGTTAAATATAATTTAAATTAATCCAATTTACACTAACATATTAATCACTTAAATTGCAGTTTATTGAGTGAAATATAAATTCGACAATAATTTTTTTTTACTTATATATTCATAGAGCACAACAACAATTAATTCTTTAAATACTAGCTTGTACATTATTAATTAAAATCCTTCACAGTTAATATTAATAAATTAATATACACAATAATTATTTGTTGATTGTACAATTGTTTTTATAGAATTAAAAAATATATTCTATTGTAATTTAAGTGTGGAAGAAGGTTTAACAATAGATAGGTTTTTAAAGTTTGATGAAATGAAATACCAATAACTTAAATTTTTAGTATGCCGCCTCTGTTATGATGAACATTTGTGTTCTTCTTTTTGAAAATTCACTGCACCTTACATTTTAAGGTTTCACCAAAATTATTTTATCACTTGTAGGCTGGTGGGTATTATTGTGAATGCGAACCTGGTTGGTCTGGGCAGCAATGTAATCAACGTTCTAGTGATCCTGGTCATGCTTGCAGTCTAAACACTTGTGCTCACGGTGGAACTTGCACTTCATTAGTTGGACAAGCTGATCTTTTCCATTGTGATTGTCCCCCAGGTTTCACTGGTAATAAAACTTGAAACTAATAAAAAAAATGTGAAATTGCTTTTTCAAACCATTATAAAAATAATTCACTTATTTATTATTTTAATTGCATCTAATTTAAAAAGTTAAGGCTTAATTATAAAATTATAGTTTATTTTTATTTTTAGTTTAAATTAATTAAAATTATTTTAATTGATTTAATTTTAATTTAATTTAAACTTAATTTAAGTAATTATTTTCTAATTTGATCTCAAAAGCCAAATATTAATTAATTGTTATTATTAACATTATTATTTAATTTTATGTTATTTTTAATCAAAAACAATGACATAGCCTGACAGAATTATAATCAACTGTTATTTAATTATTAATGTAAAACCAAATTATATTAAAATACATTATAAATTAAACAAATTTCCATTTTACTCTTATGAATATCTTAGTTTCCTTAGAATTGGAAATAGCTATTAATATGTACAGTTATATATTATTTATATAACTGATTATAATTTTATTTTTAACTATTCATTAATATAATAATTGTAGTTTATTTGTGTGGTGTTGAGCTAACATTACTATTGGTATGTCAATTTTAAGGTGATATATTAGTGTACCATAATTTTTTTAATACATGTGTATTGAAAATATTGGATGTATTGGAATTATTAAACACCAAAAGTACAGTAATTAAAATTTTATTTTTCGATGTATGCCTTTATTACTTTTTGTATTTCTATATAAGATTTAAATTTGTCTACCTTTATAATATAATTTATTTTATATGTAAGATGACGATAACTGTAAGCTAAAATAATTACATTTATAAACATTTTCATTGATAAAAGTCAACAATTTAAAAATAAACTAAATTATATTAAGCAATGTATTTTAGGTTAAATTTTAATATTGTGAATAATACATTCAATAATTTTTTTATTACTAGGGTTGGGATTTTATAGCACTTGAAATTGCATAAATATGCGCTATAATATTACCTTAAAAATCGCTAAATAAGCTCTAAAAATATGCAATAAAAACAACAAAAAAAAAGAAAATTTATTATTTAATAATTTTATACGAGCACACGAGATGAATGTGGACTGTATAAAGCGATTATTCTACACTCGTTCATTGATAATCGGCTATTAGTAGATTTGGTAAAAATCACCAAATAAACAAATAAAATCAGCATATAACAAAAATTAAAACCAAATAACTAAAATGAAATTATTGTATTATATTATACCTCCCTATATATTATCGCTGTAATTATACAGATTTGCATCAACGTAATCGGTCTATTTACTTAATCTATATATTTATAATTTAATTTAAAATTAAAATTTTGAATCTTGAAAATTCGATTAAAAAAAAACAAAAAACACGTTTACCAAAATACAATTTCATAAAGTATGCCCGATTTTGATTAAAACACAGGTAAAAGGCAAAAAAGTTTCAAAAAATCCAAAAAAAAAGCACTATAAACTAAGAAATGCAAAATATGCAAAAAAAAGCACTATAAACTAAAAAATGCAAAATATGCAAAAAAAAGCAAAATAAAATTTTTTATTTGAGTTCTCTGTATCATGAAACACATTTTTAGCTTACTCTGCTATTTTTTAAGTATCTCATTAAAAATATGCAAATGCTATAAAATCCCAACCCTGGTTATTACTAATAATTTTGGCGTTTTTAATATTTACTTTGTTTTTACTAAAGTCATTAATTTATATACTGAAAGCATTGTCTATGTTGGTGCTTATTACAATAATACAGAATTATCAGCAATACATTATTAAATACACTAAAAGTACTAAAATTACTCTATCAAAATATTGTTAGTCTAATATTTTGGGTATAACGACTTATATCACAGCTTATAATTTCACACCAAAATACCGTTATTGAAAATAAATACCATCAGCTTTGAGTAGGGATGTATATTTTATTTTAATAAATGTAACTTGAAACTACATTTAAAATTAAATTTCATATTTATTTTATTTTAACTACATTTCTTTATTTAATAAATTTTAATAATATAAAAAAAAAATGTTAACCTTATTGTATATAATTTATATTTTTAAAACTATTGGTATTTAGAATAATTTTAACTATGTGGATGATATTCTATTTGTAGAATATTTCTTTAATAAATTATTAATAAAATAAATAAATATCAATTAAACATTGTGAAATTTCCATTTAATTATTCTTAATATGTATTTATATTAGTTTAATAATTAAATTATAAAATATCATAATAATTTTAATGAATTAACTATTTATTTTTAGTAAATAAAATAATTTCTAAGAATATTTAACCACATTTATTATAACTATTCAATTAATTTGTATTTGTATAAATATTTTATATAATTAAATGATTATAGGTCAAACATGTCAAATAGATATTGATGAGTGTTTATCTAAACCATGCTTAAATGGTGGTTCATGTCATGATCTTATTAATGGTTTTCGATGTGATTGTACTGATAACTTTATGGGTGCTTACTGCCAATTACCATTTGATGCATGTACTAAAAGTCCAGGACCCTGTTTAAATAATGGTACTTGTTTACATAAGACCACATCTCTGAAAGATTATTACTGCATGTGTTTACCAGGTAAAATATTTTTGTATTATTTTTACTTCAAGTAAATTAACATTTTTAATATTTTTATTTAGGGTTTGAAGGTAAAATTTGTGAAATTAATGTCAATGAATGTCTAATGGCTACCTGTCCTACGGGGAAAGTTTGTAATGATGGTATAAACACTTATGAGTGCATATGTCCTGAGGGATATACTGGAGAAAATTGCTCAAAATTATTAAATGATTGTCCATGTAAAAATAATGCTACTTGTATCGAAAATATTGATGGTTATACATGTCATTGTACATCAGGTTTTACAGGTGAAATATAGTTATTTATTAAATGTTTTATTAAAACAGTTCATAATATAAAATATATGCTCAGGTATATATTGTGATCAAGATATAAATGAATGTGAAGCCAATAAAGATATATGCAACTATGGGATTTGTGTGAATACTAATGGTCTGTAAAACATTTATTAACTATATGTGTACATGCTTAATTTATTTTTAATATTATTTTAGGGAGTTATCAATGTTTTTGTCGTCCTGGATTTGCTGGTAACAATTGTGATGTAGATTTTGATGAATGTTTGTCACAACCTTGTTATAATGGTGCAACCTGTGAGAATAAAATTAATGGTTTTAATTGTATTTGTCCTCCAGGATTTACTGGTATGTTTTGATTATAATATTTAAAAATATGTTATTGATTTAGTTTTATGATCTTCTTCTTATTATTTTTGAGTTTATTGGGCCTTTAAGCCCATCCAGTCTCATATATAAGCTTCCATTGTTCTCTGTCTAGTGCTAAGTTTCTCCAATCAGATTTCCTCCCCATCTATTCTATATCCTTTTTAATGATGTCTTCCCAACAGCCTTTTACTTTTAGTTTTTCAATCAAATTATTAAATTGCATTTTATAGGTAAAGTATGTGGAATTGATGTTGACGAATGTAATTCAAATCCTTGTTTGAATGGTGCTACATGTATTGATAATGTTGCATCTTTTACATGCTCATGCCCTATTGGTTTAACAGGAAAATTGTGTGAAACAAATATTAATGATTGTGAGGTTAGTATTTATTAATATTAATAGATTATAAAATTTAATTTAAAATGTATTTATTACTAATCATCTCAATTATATAATGATTATAGTCTTCTCCATGCCAAAATATGGGCCTATGTATTGATGGAATTAATAGCTATAAATGTAACTGTTCAAATACAGGATTCGAAGGTATGTGTGTAGAATTAATAATTTAATGAAATTTAATAAGTATACATTATATTATTCTTTTTAACAAAAGGAAATCATTGTGAATTGAACATCAATGATTGTATTCATAACCCTTGTATGAATAATGGTACTTGTATAGATGGAGTTAAAGATTATTCTTGTAAATGTTATACTGGTTATTCAGGTAATATTGAAATTATTATGTTATTTGGTAAAAATTAATGACTGTGTTAATTTTAATTTTGTTTAGGAAAAAATTGTGAAATTGATATAAATGAATGTGAAATTAATCCTTGTCAGTTTGGGGGTACTTGTCTTGAACGTTCTAATTTATCATTATACAATCTAACAGATAAAAAAAATCTTTCAGCAATATTTCAGCAAGAATTCAACTATGCAACTGCTAATGGGTAAAAGAGATAAAAGTTTTATTTTATTTTTAATTATTGACATAAAATAATTTTTAATATTCAAAACCTTTTTATTTATTATATTAATATATAATTAAATAAATAAAAGCTTAGCCGTTAGACCAATTTAATATTAAAAATTCATTGTCAGGTCAATAAAATCGCGACTCTTTTATTGACTATATACCTGACAGTGAATTTTTAGTTTGAAACCCGTCATATTTTACAAGTATAGTAATACTCCAGGCTATACTTTTATTAATTTATTTCTATATATAAATTATTTGTTTATTTATCTATGTTTAAAATTACGAGTATTAACCATTTAATAATTTTTAATTTTAATTTAATTTTTATTATATTAAGTTGTATTTAACAGAAATTTAGAGAAGTTGAAATTATTATAATTTAACTGATAAAAATATATAATTAATAGGATTATATTTACAAAAATTACTTAATTAAAAATACGTAATAGTTCTTATATTTAAAAAAAACTTAATAACTTAATAACAAGTTTTAAAATATAAGATCACAAATTTTAGTTAAAAAATTTTTATCTAAAAAGTATCTAACAAAATTACACTTATTTTTAATCATTATTTAGATTCTCTTGATTTCTAAAGTATTTTCCTTTTTATGATTATTTAAAAAAAAAAAATATTTATATTATGCTATCAATTATTTCTATATAATTTTTTTTAAATATATCTATTTTAGATTTGAATGTCTATGTTTACCTGGTACTACAGGTATCAAATGTGAAATTGATATTAATGAATGTGATAGCAACCCATGTCGTTGGGGTAGTTGTGAAAATAGAATTGGTGGTTATGCTTGTTTATGTGATGAAGGGTTTGAAGGCGTGTACTGTGAAATTGAAATTGACGAATGTGAAAGATTCAAGTATGATAAATATTCTTAAACATCAAAAAATATTTAATTTTGTTCATAAATTTATCTTGACATTTTTTTAGGCCATGTGATCATGGAACATGCATTGATCGGCGTGCTGGTTATTACTGCGACTGTATCCCAAAATATGGTGGTAAAAATTGTTCTGTTGAATTAGTTGGATGTCAGAGTTCACATACATGTTTAAACAATGGTATTTGTAGACCATACTTGATTGATGAGACTGAACATCGTTATAATTGTACATGTCCTTATGGTTTTCATGGTGATATTTGTGATAAGGTTAATTTAATAATAATTTAAAATTATGAAATAAGTACTTAATTGTCATATTGTATTTTAGACTACTACTATGTCACTGACTGGTGAATCTCGTATTGTGGTTAACACCACCAGGGATGAAGGTTATGATATATCATTTAGGTTTAAAACAACATTACCAAGTGGTCTATTAGCAATTGGTGGTGGATCAACATTTTATATATTAGAGTTGGTTAAAGGTCGTTTAAATCTACATTCTAGCTTATTAAATAAATGGGAAGGAGTATTCATTGGTTCTGAACTTAATAATAGTCAATGGCAAAAGGTAAATCACATTTTTTTAGTTTATTGTTTCATTCATATTCTAATTTATTTTTTTACATTTTTTTTATTTGTTATGAAGGTATTTGTTGCTATAAATTCTTCACATTTAGTACTGTCTGCTAATGAAGAACAAACTATTTACCCTATTAATTTAAATGAAGGAGCAAACCCTACACATACTAGTTTTCCTACTACCTATGTTGGCGGAACTATTGCAAATTTGAGACTATTACCCCACGGACCACCATTTTTTATTGGTTGTATTGAGAATCTACTTATAAATGGACAATGGGTTGGAAAATAAATAAATAATTTAAGAGAAATTCTATGCTGTAATGTTATTTAATATTTTTAGGTTTTACCTGATGAAAAAGTAGAAACTATAGGCTTAACTAATGTTGACATTGGCTGTCAAAGAAACGATCAATGTTTCCCTAACCCATGTTACAACAGTGGTCATTGTACTGATTTATGGAAAACATTCAGTTGTACATGTGAAAGACCATATCTTGGAAATACTTGTCAATATAGTAATTTTTTCTTATTTTAATTATGTTTAATTATTGTTAAAATATTGAAATATTATCTATTTTTATCATATTATTTTATTTAATAGGTTTTCCAGCAGCAACATTTGGTCATGAGAATATCACTAATAGTCTTATTACTGTAAATGTGTTTACTTTAACTAAGCGAGCCGTTAAAAACATTGTGGACATTTCTATGTTTATACGGACGCGTCAATCTCGAGGAGCAATATTTTATTTAGGTTCTACACCAGGATCGGTAGCATTTCCTGATGAAACTCATATTGCTGCTGAACTTGAAGGTGGTGAATTACTAGTCAGGATACTATTTAATGCAACTCCTGAATCGTATACTGTTGGTGGTGTAAAACTTGATGATGGTCAAAATCATTTGATACAGGTGAATTAATGATCTAAGAATATTTAAAACACTTGATAATGATAGTTAAGACTTAACTGATTAAAAATATTATGTTAAGGTTGTTCGTAATATTACATTGGTTCAAGTGAAAATAAATGGAACTGAATATTTTAGAAAAACTATTAGTGCAACTGGTCAACTTGATGCCCAAGTTCTTTACTTAGGAGGTTTTCCATCTTCTAAACCACTAAAACGTGATTTATCAGATTCAACAATCATTATGGATAATATTTTACCTCGTCCTAATACAATAGAAAGACATATTCGTCAAACAGTTGATAAATTGCAAGGGATACCCCACTTTAAAGGAATCATTCAAGATGTTCAGGTAATTTAATTTTTAAGTGAAATATTAATTATATTTATATATTTATTTTTAAATTGTAATTTACATTTTAGATCAGTAATGGATCTCAAACAATGATAGTTGAATTTTATCCATTAGGCATAAAGAATAAGGATTTAGTTGTACCTAAATCATTTGGTACTGTATCGTTTAATCCAAAGGAAATTGTTGAGGGTATTGTGTCTGATGACACATGTTTATCACAACCTTGTCATAACTCTGGGACATGTTCTATTACTTGGAATGACTTTACTTGCGATTGTCCTTTGGGTTACAAAGGAAAACAGTGTCAAGAAATGGAATTTTGTCAAATCGAAGATTGTCCTTTAAATAGTGAGTGCCGAAATTTGAATCACGGATATGAATGTGTAGCCAATGTTACATTAGATGGTCGAAATACTTCTGAGCCACTCTTGCAGTATAATTTTGTCAAAGGACAACAGGTTATTCCATTGACTCATATTGAAGTTAGTTATAGAACTAGAACAAGTGGCACAATTATGTACATTTCTAATAAGAAACAAAGCAGTGATCCAGAGTTCCTTTTTTTTTCAATGATTGCTTATAAAGATCGGGTACTTAAAAATAATATATATTTTTCTTAGAATTTTGTTTTAATAGATTTTTCATATTTCAGTTAATTATTGCTTGGAAATTAGAAAAAGAAAGTTCTATAATTATGAGACATGTGCATAAAGATCATTTGGATTCAGATTGGACAAATATTATTTTTAAAATAATTGATAATAAAATTCAAGGTGGTTTAGTTGGTGCAATTGATGATTCAAATCAGTATATACTTGCTGGAAATTTTTCATATTCAAATTGGGTTGAATTGGTTTCTTCGAATCCAATTCTTATTGGTATGTATAATTTTACACATATATATTTTTCTATTTACAATATTATTTCTAGTGCTTATTAAACATATTTTTTTTTTTGTACATTTCTATGAAGACTTGCTATGAATTAATCATATAATTTCATAGAAATGTAAAAAATGAATCGCCTCTAATTCATTATTCATTATTTTACCAACATTATTATTAATAAATAGTGAAGTAATATAAATTATATTTAAATGGGTTTGTCACTAAAATTTTGTATATGTGTTACAAAATGTCATAGATTTGCAATCAGTCTAGGGGGGCCCCTATACTGTATCTTAAAGGTACAATATTTACGTAAATATAAATTATACAACTGATTCTTAGATTTGAAACAAACATAATAAAGTATTAATCCAATTAGTCTGTCTTTTCCAATTACATTTTGTAGGTAATATTTTATTCTTTTTATATTAGAAATGTATCATATATAATATTATCAAGTTAAAATAATAAATATATTCCGTGAAATGTTTTATTGATAAATTGAAACTTCAGTTATTATCAACAATTTGTAAAGAAAAAATATAATAATAAAGAACAAAATAAACTAATTAAGGTTTCTAATTTTTGATTATTTAAATTATAAAATTGTGGTTTAATTTTTGATTGTGTGCTTTTTCCTATAAAAATAATTCAATCCTCAATTTTACTGGTTTGAAACCTTCAGTTTTATAAATTTGTTTAATTATTATCACATCAAACAACGTTGGCTTTTGAGTTATATATTATATTCTTTCACTTTTTTTATGTTTATTTTTGAATCAAAAAGTTAATATTTAGTATTAATTAATTAAATATTAGTTCATGCTAAAAATTATTAATAATATTTTGTTTCTAAGGTAGGGGAGAGCACTATCAAAATTCATCTGAAAATAATGTGGAACATGCAACGTATATAACAGATGCAGATACAAATTCATTAGATATGATTGATTCTGATGAAAATATTCGTTTTGAAGATGTGATACAACAAGATATAACTTCTGCTGGTGGTTTTTATAAGGTATTAATTCTTAATTGTAACATTTTATTTATATTAATTATTTATTTACACTTATTATTTTATAGGGCTGTCTTGGAGAAATAAGAATTGGAGGCTTGTTGTTACCTTATTTTACTCCATCTCAACTTAATACTAGTAATGAAACTGATTATTTTGAGTTGTCATCTCATAGTTCAATCGCAGAACATTTTGATTTAGATTGTTTACTTTGCTATGATTCTGAATGCAAAAATAATGGAAGGTATATTTTGTATTTCATACACTTAGTATTAGTTATTTTAAAGCTTTTTATTTTAGATGTAAGAAAGCAAATGAATCTTATGTCTGTGAATGTGAACCTGGTTATGAAGCTGATGACTGTTCTGTAAATATCAACGAATGCTTGTCTAATCAGTGTCAACATGGAGCTGAATGTATTGATGGAATTGCTAATTATACTTGTTTGTGTAAAACAGGCTGGACTGGTTTACTGTAAGTTATTATTTATTGATAAGTAAAGAAGAATAGACCCAATGTACAATTGAGTAACATAAATATTACAGCAGTTGCTCATAAAAGTTATATTATGTTAAAAATAGTACTTTTAATTAAATGTGTTCTATTTGGATCTTATTCTCGTATTTTAATTTCAAATGATGAATTTCTTACTTCAAACTCCTTGCTTGTTTCATCTCTTGTTGATCCAATTTTCTATACTTCATTTTTAGTACCCAGTAGGAAGTCTTCTTTTATATTCCTTATACTTAAAGCTATATTCAGGTCATATGTTGATGATGGTTCTATTTTTTTACTCTTCCACTTTATCTGCTCACCTTAAAAACACAACTCTCTGTTTGATTCTTAATTCTGCTCAGCAATAGAGGCATTATGTTTCACTAGTTCATCTAACCTTGAAGTTGAATGCTCCTGTTGTCCCATTAAAATAAGTAACCACTGCATGACCAAAGAATTCCTATTCATGAATATGGATCCAGCCTGCACAAATGATTTATTTACAATTGATAATTCCAAATGTGCTCCCTTATTAGCCTTCCTTTCTTACCTTTTACCTTACACCCATTACGTAATTTCCAATCTTTATTTCTATTTTATCTTCCTTACATTGGATTATTCCCAGATAACTTTTATGCCTTTTCCTTCTACTTGTTAAATTCCTACTTAAAGAATTTATTTCCTTCAACCATCTCTGTCAACTTATTTTTATGATAACATCGCTGATTTTTCTTTCTATATGTCATACCTGAAAATCTCCTCTATTAAAATGCATTGTTCAATAATTATCAGTACCTTCTAATTCATTCTTATACTGAGGTCAAACAAATAATAGTTATCATAACTATTTCATTCACAATTTACAAGTATACCTTCAGATCAACTCCCCTGAATCACCTCTTGTTTTCCTTATTAAATCTCTAATTTTTCTTCATTATCAATACAACCTTACCATATCTGAGTAACTATTTATGTTAACATCAACGTTAATAAAAGTTCTCATCAGTTTTGGGTTCCAACCAAATTGTTATTCAAAATTTGATCCAAATTATTTTATTTTCTCACTCATTATGCTACCTGACACTGCATGCAATATATCCTCAATAATCTCCTCTCCAACCCTGGTTTTCTGCTTTCCTTTTTCTCTTTTCAAAACATTCTTATTTTTCTATTTTTTGTTCCTTGGTTACTACATAACTAATATTTATCTTTCTCTTAATTCTTGTTTCCTTCTTGTCATACACACAATTATTCCCTTTATATTTAATGCTATCTTTCTAATTTAAGCTCTAAATTATAGTTAAACCCTTATCCATTCTGTATTAGTCCCAAGTATAATTGCTAGCAGGTACTTAATATTAACTTTAAAAATAAAAATAAATATATTTAATTTTAATTTTCAGCTGTGAAATTGATATCAATGAATGTGAATCTAACCCATGTCACCATAATAGTATTTGTATTGATCACCTTGGTAAATTTGAATGCAACTGTTCAGATGATTATGAAGGAGAAACATGTGAACAATTAAAACTTGTAACATGTGATAATTCACCTTGTAAAAATGGTGGCAACTGTTTTAACAATTATGGTATTATATGAAAAAAAAATACTATTTGTTATATAATATAAAATTAAACATACATTTATATAATTATGATGTATTTTAGATCCAGCTACTGGTAATAATTACACATGTTCTTGTTTGGAAGGCTTCTCGGGTACTTCATGTGAATTTTCATTTTGTGATATATATGAATGTCAAAATAATGGTATATGTAAAAAAGAGGTATTACATTTATCTTCAAATCATTGTTGTTTAAGATTATTATAATGAAAAAATAATACATAACCAATTTACAGGAGTCTCCATTCTGTAAATGTCCAGTAGGTTTTAAAGGTCATCTTTGTGAACAAAATATTGATGATTGTTTAGATAATAGTAATCAACTAAAATGTCATCATGGTGGTCAATGTGTGGATGGTATCAATGAATACTCATGTAATTGTACTGGAACTGGTAAGAAAATAATGTAACCATTATTTATGCAAATATTTAAAGTTCAATAAATTATTTTATTTAAATATGTAGGATACACTGGTGAAGATTGTACTATAGATATTGATGAATGTTTTGATCTTAACATACAATGTAGTCATCGAGGAGAATGTAAGAATACCGATGGTTCATTCATTTGTTTATGCCAAAACAATTTCTGTGGCCATTACTGTGATCTACGAAATCCATGTTTATCTGTAAGCTATTTAAATTAATTTTAATTGAAGGCTTATTTTATTTTATTTTTTTATTTTCATTAGGAATCGCCTTGTAGTAATGGAGGTACTTGCCAAGAACGATGTACTGATTTTTCAGACTATGAATGTTTGTGTGCCAATGGTTATGTTGGAAAAAATTGTACTGAGGTAAGAACTATTGTATTTATCTTTATATATTGTTGCATTTAAAGTTAACTAATTTACTTAAGACTTAATTTATTTTTATTTTTGGTAATTTGTATAATACATATTTATTCAAATTTTAATGATGAATTTAACATAATTTACTTACATATTTTAATATTAATTTTTAAAGTAATTGCCAAAATGTATTATTCAGATATATTATCTTTAATTTTTTTGAATGTCCCAAGCTTTTCATTAAGATCAACTTATACATTTTATATTCCTACTCAAAAGCGCAACTATTGTCTTTTTGCTCTGATAAATTGTATGTTAATATTGAGAAATAAACTTGAGGACTTGGATTTATTTTTCCATACTCTTCACGAATTGAATAACCATTTAAAAAACTATCATAATGTAATGTATTAAATTGGTTTTAATATGTTTTATTTAAATGTTGTAACTTTTTGTTATTGTAATAATTTAAAAAAATTTAAATTTTTTTTTTCTGTTTTGTCTAAAACTATTTTTAATTTTTGGAATTTAATATTTATTTATGTAATTAATTTTTTTTAATTTTTAATATTACTAATTTTCAAAATATTTAGATATATATATATATTTAATTTTGAATTTTTTAGATTTACAAGGTATTGCATTATCATTAGGGTTTGGATTATTATTGCATTTGCATATTGTTTGACAATGATTGTAGAATAGTCTAAATAAAATATACATTTGTTTTAAGTCATAACAGATTAAAATACAAAAATTTTAATTGCATTTTTTCGCATATTTCGACGTTTTCTGTGTGAAATACATATTTGACCAATTTTGGGAATTTAATTGTTCTTTATAGCATATTTATGCAGTTATCATTTCATGTTATGCAGATTTATTTTAAAGGTTAACATAATTTATTTTTTACTTTCATGCATCAGTCAACATACCTAATCATAGAATAAGTCAGGATAGAGCCACAAGGAAAATAACTAATTGTTCCTGTGTATTCTATCGGTTACCATATATCATTTAGAGCAGGGGTCAGCAAGTAATTTACATTAGAGCCCTAAAGTTTAAAATAATAAATCAATGAGGTCCAGTGATTAAAATATTTTTCAAATCTTTATATTTTATAAAATAGTAGTATAAAAATAAAAATAATTATTTGATTATTACAATTCATTTATGTTAAAAATTACAATATTAAAAGTATGAAAATAAAAGTTGACAGGGTCCAAGATTATTGCCTTCCGCGGTCCAAATTTGGACCGCGGTTCACCAGTTGCCGAACCCTGGTTTAGAGAATCTAAACGGAAAATTAGTATTCAGTTTGTATTGAACATTGTAGGAGAAGATAAAGAAAATGAAATTGAACATATACAATAACATAATAATTATAATATAATGATTTATATTACTATTGTTGTAAAAAAATACTAATTAAAAAAAATTGTCTAAATTTAAATGAATAAATCAATTTTTTTAATTATCATTAAAAAAATATATAGTTGCATGTTTTTGCGCATATTTTGATTATTTTAAGTGCATATTTCCTACAATTTGTATGCAATAAGTCCCAAACCTCAATTATTACCGAGAATATTTAATATAATATGATGATAACATTTTTTTTTCATCTTACCTTAATTTTAGACAATTTTTAAAGATAGCGGTAAAGCTTATACATATATTATTAACTTAATAAAAAAATTATATTTTATTGCTTTTATAATTTGAACTTTTTTGTTATTTTAGTTGCCTATTATTCACAATTATGCAGATATAGCATTAATTGTTGGTCCAATATTACTTATTCTTCTCATTGGTGGTATGGGCAGTTTATTTGTACTTTTAATGATGGCACGAAAAAAAAGAGCAACAAGAGGTACATATAGTCCTAGTTGTCAAGAATATTGTAATCCTAGAGTTGAATTAGACAACGTACTGAAGCCACCACCAGAAGAACGACTTATATAATTATTGATTATTTATTTTATTTAAGAACAAACATGAAATTGCTCGGAATTTCTTACACATTTAGGCAGTTTATTTTTAATTTTTAACTCTTTATTAATGATCTCCTTACTTTTGTTTAGCGGCCATTTTTATACCCTTCATTTAATTTATCATACATTTTGTGATTTTTATTTAAATTATAATATTCCAGTAAACTCGTATGTATGTTTAACAATTGTATTATTGTATTAGTTGTCATCCAATTTAATAATATCTTTTTGTTAACCTATTTTTTTTTTTTTTTTTATAATATAAACATTATCTCTATTTATAATGGTTACAATTATAAGTCAATAATTGTAATAGTTGTATTGAAAAACGAATTTAAAGTAATAGATAAAATTATTTTATGGGTAACAAAAGATAGTTAAATAGATAAGATTTTATTTTATTGTACTTAATTTAAAAAATAGAAAAGTCTGTTATATGTTAATGTTACTCTTAAAAGTAAAAAAAAAAAAAATTATTCAGTATTATTCTTAAATGTTACAATTTTAGTTTAGAAGGATAAAATATATGTTTAGTTTTTAATATCTTCATAATTTTTGTTGGAACAAAATGTCTACTTTAATTTAATAATTTGTATATTATTGTCTTAGTATACTTCAACATTTTTTATTTTGTAAAAAAATTTAATTTAATTTATAATAGTTAATTCTTTGGTAAACAATTAATTTATGTAAGTAAAGGTTGCATTCCAAATTACACTAGAGCAATTTTCAAATAATTATTTTTATTTCCTAAAAAAATACTATTTATTGAAACCTTCATAAATATTAATTTCTTCTATAATTTTCAAATGAAAAAGTCTAGCTCTCTTTTTTTTATAAATAATAACAGTTTTTAATTTTATAGTTGATTAATTCAAATCCTATTTATTATTAAAAATGTATGAATCAACTATTATCAAAAAATCTTCCTTCAAATTAAAATAGTTATTTACCTGATAATTTATTAAATATTTTTTATAAATTCCACACTGAAAATTGTTATTCTAATAATTAATGATCATATCATATAATAAAATATCCCTTTATTTTACTTTGTATATTTACTAACTAGTATTATTTTTGTGATAAACCAAAAAACCAAATATTTTATTTAACTAGTTTTTTGGGTTTAATTGTTCCGTCCACAATTAATTGTGTATTTGCAGGGTAGTAATCAAATAAACATACATTTATGAATGTTTTAAACAAATTTAATAAGTTCGAAATGTAAATAATTTTATTTTTTTATTTTTTATTTATACCATTTTATTATTGTTTTAAATGGTTTTATACCTTAATATATTAATATTCTAAATCTTTTGCAATTGAAATTATGTAACATTTTTATACTTTTATAAAGATATAATATATTTTTAATTGTTTATAGTCTATAAATTGCGAATTTAAATGAATTTTGAAAAATTAAAATGAGAACGTGGGAGCAACAACCAGACCTATTTATTGTTATGTATAAAAATATAATATAGCTGTCTGATTATATTATGGTAAAATATTACAATAATTTCTAAAGATATTTAAATCCTTTCTGAAAATTATATCAGTTAGATATGTTTGGTTGTTGTACTGAAATATTGAACTGATGGGTTTCTTTGTTTTACAATAAATTAAATTTGAATAGTTTATCTGATATCTAAATATAATAAATTTGAAATGTTTTTTTAGTATAATTCAAATATACGAGTTGTAGAAATGGTGTATGTAATTAATTTTAAACAATTGATTGGTAAAACTACAATCAACAAAATATTGCACTTTATGTATATTTTTATATTTGTAATATAAATAAATTATTTGTCTTGAAAAAATAATGTATTGTGTTAAAATAATTCTAAATAGTAACTTATAATTTATATTCTGATAATTTTTTTAAAAAACTGTAAAATAATAATCAAAAAGACTCTCCAAAAATAAATCAGTGTTAGAAAATGATTAATTATATTGACAAATATTTCATTAAAAATTCATCAATCATTTTTGGAGTGCCTTATATTATAGTTTTTAATTAAATATGTATTCTTAGTTGGTAACTAACATTACAAGTAAATACATTGAAAATAAATTTCCTAACTTATATTTTATTTTAACCTATATTGAGAAATATGTCTTACACTTTATTTACAAATTACATTTAATGAAACATTCTAAATTACTGTAAGTAATGCCTACATAAATTATAAAATAATAATAAATCTAAATATTTATATATATATTGAATTATTCCTTAACTAAATATATTTTTAGTTTACATTTCACACACAAAAAAAGTTTCAAACGAACATGGTGAATCATTCCATTTGAGCCCTTTGCCATCTCGATTCCACAACTCTAAACAATGTTCCTCTTCGCCATTTTCATACTTGAAATTGTTCGGTTCACCAGCATTCCAGTTGGTAAATCCAATTGGCCTGCCATTGGCCAACCAGAAAAATGCACCTTCTTCGGCTTGGTCAGTGCCAGAGGTCCAAAAGTGTTCGTGTCCCAAACCTAAACAATCCGAGTTGTACCAAATAATATTGACAAAAGTATACAGAATTGTTGTACCGAGCAAAAACCTCCCCTGGCGGAATAGTGAAGTATATAAAAAAAAATATGTATACCATTACAAGTTTTGACATTATTCTGTGTAAGATATTTTTTTACTGAATCAAATTGTTAAAAAAGTTATGCATGTTTCCCCGTACAAGTTTCATTATCTGTTTAGTAATTAATTCCTTACCGAAATCTTTAATATATTTTTCCAACTTGTCGTTTTCTTCTTGACTACTTATGCTTGCCAAGTGCATTCCATGATACCGGCAGTATTGAGCGGCTTTGTACCAATTAGCCTAAGTGAACAATTACGAACAAGTTAAAAAGTTTAAAGTTAACGAAAATTAATATTTTGAATTCGTTTTTTTAAAAACATTTTCGTATTGATTTAAGTTTGATTTTACCTTGAAAAATATACCCAAGTATAATTTTTTATCACCCGATCGTAAGAGTGGCAACGACCACTTATTGGTGGCTGCAACGCTATCATCAACGCAATTGTTATTGCTACATTCGCCTGCTAAATAAATAAAACAATATTATTGTTACGTTATGTTATAAAAAATTAATAAATATCAACGATAGTCACAATGTCGTAAATGCATCTGTACAGAATCCGTATACATATTGGGTTCATATATAATTGAATAATACTGTTTGGGCTAAGCAGTGTTTATAAATTATAACTCATCATTGATAAGTTATTATATTAGACTTGTAATTCAGATTTTCTTCACAAAAAAGTATCACTGTCACGCAAGCTTGTATTTAAGGGGGAGCACGGGTAGGCACATACCCGAGGGCGGCAAAATATTTTAGCAAAATTAATTTTAAAAATGATGTACTTAATGAAAAAAAAAAAAATAAGATAATAAAAAAAGAAAATAGTATGTTTTATTATGTTATAATTTTTAAATTAAAAAAAAATTTATTTTTATTATATTATAATTTTTTAATTAAAAAAAGTATTAAACGATTTTCATTTATAAGTTAGATTTTAATACTAAAAAATTTGGATTATGGATTAAATAATAAGTGTTATAATATTATTATTATTTATTGGGGGGGGGGGGGGGGCATAAATTATATGCCCGGGGACACAAAATTTTTAAATACGGGCCTGCTGTCACGGTGTATGTGACATACTCATGTAAAAGCCAAAAAATTAATACAAATTAAGTATTGCGAGTGGCTATCTATGTATAGTTTAATTTTCGATATTACCGATTATGTATGGTACCTAATATAAAATCGATTATGTTTCGTATATTTTTTTTAAAATACGTGTTATTTTCATTATATCCATAATAATATTGAAATTAACAATATAATATTATATTCAGTATGCAGTAGACTCTTGATAATTCGAACCAAACTATTGGTCCTTTAAAAAAAAAGTCAATTTAATTTAAAGAAAAAACATGCATTTAAATCCCCCCGGATGAATCGAAATAAATTAAGTGTTTTTCTAATAAATAAATTAAGTTTTTCCTCAATAATTGGTACTCAGGCTAAATTGAAAACCTCTGTAGATTTTTAATTTTCAGCTCGGTCCCCTGAATTTCGAATTATCCTGCATCTATTGTATATATAGCTGAGCGTATTTTAGGTGTAGTGGTTTGGACTTTCTACCATTGGTGTTCCTTGTTTTTTTTGTTTATTTTTTTTGTCTTATTTTTAAATAAATTATAACATTGTATAATCGGCGTACTATAGTTATCTTCTGAGACTAAAATTCATGCGACTGTATTGTTTGCGATAGAGTTTAAATATATAAACACTTTAAGGTATACTATGGATTCACGTTTATCATATGAACCTGTTTCTAAGATATATTCGATTTCAGTATACCTACACCCCTTTTTATTTAATACCAATCATCAGTGTTGATTCGAGTATATTTTCATCTCCCAAAATATCACGTAAAATGCCTTGTACCTCACACTCCCTTTTTATATAATTTATAATTATCTATATTTATATTAACCATCTTATTGATTTCAATTATGCAAAAAAAATTTTTTTAAATACCTCAAAGGTTTTATTATTTGAACGTTTCAGAGGGCTATATAAAAATATTTAATATTTGTATCTATATATTTTGTGTAGGTATCTAGATATTAGTAAAAAAAAAAAGAAATTAATACCGACATTTTACTACTTTTTTTTCTTACTTAGCAATAAATCCGAACAATAGAAAAATAAGTTCCAAATGCAATAACTTTTGAGGCCTAGTTATAACAATAGTTTATAGTTACCGTATTGAAGCCCGTAGCAGGACGTCGCCGGTCCCATTATCTTGGTCAATGTGCTTGAGAACAAGACTACTGACAATAATACAAGACTATTTTTATATTAAATTATTATTTGTCAATTTCATTAATAGAGTGGGATCTGTACCAAAAAAACGTTTTATCAAACTTAAACCGATTAAACATATTTTCCACAACAATCAAGGTCAATTTTATATACAGGTACATATATATATATATACACGTCTACAATCGCTGTAGGAAAAAAAATATAAGTACAGAAAATTCTCATTATAGATCTAAACAATGGGATACAGTACTTATTTTCTTATTATATATCGGAGGAGTTTTTTTTTTACTTTTACTCAATGTTTCATCAGATCTGTAAGTTTATCCCACTAAAATACGAAATTTGTCCCGAGTCTCATAGAACAAGTAACTCTAACCCTGACCCACGAAGTACGTTTTGGGTCGGGCGCAATGTCGCATTGGATACTGGAGGCACATTACTTATTTTGTGAACCGAAATTTTCTTTAATATGCCATTATGGAAGTATAAAGATTTCACTTCACGTACGCAGTAATCGTTTGTCTTATGTTTCATTTACAAAGAAATCATTTAATTTTGTTAATTTTTATGTAATAATTTGACAATTGTATAGATATGTACCCCATTGTATGTGTCAATGGTCGAATTATCACTCGATAACATAAGATCGTGGACGTTTATTCGTAAAAACATTATTGTTTAAATTATTGTTGTGCATATGTATCCATATTCGTACAATTATTATCAGGACTAGGAAACTACCCAATGGCCTACATTCAATTACACTCCCCTCAGACTCCCCATAAATCATAAATACTTTCCCACATCCTTGAAACATATGTTACAATCAACAGAATATTATTATTGAATAAAATATGAATATATTTTTTTAGTAAAATTCATGAAAATAAAAACATACTTATAAATTATAATAGATACATGATAAAATAGATACTGTTATTATAATATAACTAAGGTGAATTAAAACAATTTAAAAATACATTTTTCTCTGTGTATAAAATATAAATTAATATTACCACCGACATAGTATACATTTATAGTTGCATGAATCTACTTTTTTTTGAAAATGTTTCAAAACAACTTTACTATCTGTTTTTATTATAGTTGATATCAATGATGATCAATTATGACATCGTATTACGAACTTGCAGAAAAACAAAAACATATATATCTATGATCGTTTATTATCAGTATTAATTTCAGGACGGTGACCGGGGCTGAAATAATGTTATTTATTTACTAATTACTCACTCCTATGACATATGTATGACACACAACCATGGTATCACATACCAAATACCCTCTCCCCTGAACATTTACGACAACCCCCGGGAAGGAAGGTCTGAAATAAATACATGTATACTACATACACGCAATAATACCACGGAAGTGAACACGAATTTAAAAAAATAAATTTTATTCGTGCAAGAGTGTAATTTGTAAAAACTAAATATAATGCGAGTTTTAATAAACACATTATCTTACGACGAGAGAACTAACGAAGTGGTGAAAGCTAGCACCTTGAGCATCATTTCGAAACGTATTTCGACCAATGAACTATAGTCCCTCGTAAAATTTAACAAGGATTCGATTATTTATCTACACTTACGTGTATAGAGACCGAAACAAATTAAACACCTTGATTTGTAAAATATTCGCATTTTCGTAACTATATTTTAATACTGACAAAAATTAATATAATTTAATATCCAACGATCGAGGACATCATCAATCAGGGACACAAGTTGGGTGTTCTAAACTCGTGTTTAAGTTCTTAGAACATGTAATATATTATTGTAATAAATATAGAATTTAGTTGCGTGCATATATTATGGACTTGAATCAAACATTTTTAATTTTTACCGTCGTAAATGTGTATTAAATTGCTTAAAATGTGCATCATAGAAAACTCCGACAATTGTAAACGAACAGTACATGGATTACGAACGCAGAGTGATACGAAAATCCATCTCGTTACGACTTCGACAATTATTTAAATGATGTTCCCGCCCGTTTATTTCTTTCGGCGATTCGCGCGCGCCCATTGCATTTGACCTCGAAAGGTAATCGCGTTTGGTTTTCGAATTTAGATTTTCCCTCGAGGTGAATCCCATATACGTAATCAGGGGGTATACATAGTATGCAGTTGCATAGCTTGAGCACAGAACCTTGTTTCTAAAAATATAAAAAATTAACAAAAAACGTGACATATTTGGTTTTTAAATGTATTTGATTTTAATTTTCTATTACACTATAATTATTATATTTTATATTCAGTCCCAGATATTTTTATTTATTTTTGAAACAAAAATTATGTAATAATTTAATAACGATTTAATGAATTAACGAAATCAAGAAGTACTATGTTTCAAGAGAGATTAAATAGCTTAATACTTTTAGAGCAAGCATTGGCGGCTATACATTTAAATCCGGAAAACATTAATAATGATTTCGAAAACACAACTGAATTGTGTTATGATCAATTACAATTATTTATCAAATTTATTTTGTTGTTTCGTTGAAGTACCTATACCTATACAACAATGATTTTGTTCATTTGCAATATTTCAAGTGTTATATATTTAATTCTTTTTTTTTTTTTAAATCTTTTTTTAAATTTTAATTATGAAGACGATCACTAATAATAAAGGAATGGCTGCTCAGTAACTTTGTTTTATGGAAAAATTGAAATTTTAAAACAAACAGTTATTCAGACGCATTTGCATACATTTTTATCAGAATTTTGAACGCTTGAAATAACTTTTGTTGGGGGGGGAAGGGAATACAGAGGCAGTATTTTAAATACCCCGAAAAAGTGTTCTGTGCAAGTCTATGGGAGAGCACATACCTATTGCTACGAAATGCATAACATAACGCACAACTCGTAAACCGGGCACGGGTTCAAGGTTCACGTTTGACCTTCTCGCGCTGTCCGTTCGACCAGAAATAGCGTACCATAAACATACGATATTAAATTTATCGCAACATTATTATTCGGTCGCGCTCGCGCGCGCGTGTGTGTGGCGGCATCGTGAACGCGACGGCCGAACCCACGCACTCCGGTCGGTTATGATGTGCTCCTTCACACGTCGTATCGTACACGAGCGGACGAGCATTTCGCAGAATGCATCGAACTTATAAATAAACAATGTTTCAGACGTCTGATTGCCGCGTACAGGTTTACTCGAACCGCGCTCG